TATATATATAGGTTCCAAAATTCGCAAACCACCGAAATATTTGAAAATAATTATTTTAGGTAAGATAAGCTTATTAATACATGAATAATTTTACTACACTGAAAAAAAATGCTATACTGAGACTAAATAAAAAATCAGCATCTTCATATAGCTAGCTCAAGCATGCATAGCTAAAACTGCTTGAATATTTTACGCTAACAAGAATGAAAAAGAAACACACATGTAAGTAATTAGTAAAATATGGCAAAATAGTTAAACCGATTTTCGATAACATTGCAAGCAGATGGTATTTGATGCTACGCTGTATCTTTTATTTTATATCTCACTTTATTTATAATACTTTCTAGCTACTCCATAACTTGTAGTGTTAAAAAACAAAATTATTCTTGGCAAAATAAAACTGACAACATCCAAGAGCGAAAAAGTTGTCAATTCATTGCAAACTTAACTAAGACTATTTTTACTTCTTGTGAGTAATAAATTACATATATATAACGTATATAATTTCAGTTATAAATTTCATATATATATATATAATGTGCTTTGTTTTAAAAGCAAAAGAAGTGATCTTTTTTTTGGTCATTTTGGATGCATTTATTTATTGAATATTCTCAAAATCCGAGCAATATAATGAAATATTTTTGTCACTTTTTTCACATTTGCTTTTTGCTTTGCAAGGAGAAATTATTGAAGTACGCTGAGATTCATTTACATACACACAACTCTGCAATTACCATGAAAAAACAGTCCAAATTCATTACACATTCACAGCAATATTTTTTCATTTCACTTTTTGCATATTTTTTGATTGTTATATGCTACGGACAGTTTAATTGAATCTCTTCACAATTTTGCATCAAACTTTCATTTCTACTGAATGTAATAGACGACTTTTTTTACTTAATTCCACTAACTTTGTTCAGAGAGGTAGTAAAGAATAGTTAAGCACTTTTAATTATCTTTGCTGCACTGATTACTTATCACTTTCCATAAAATTTACACAACAAACTACTGTTTTTTCACGTTTATTTCTTTTTTGTAATTAACGTTTCTTTAATCTTTGATTCAAGCAAATCTAAAAAACCTAATACGATGATTTTTTTTCACAAGTTATGCCTTCCTATTTTCCATTAATATTATTTTTTGCATTGATAACGATCTTATTTATTATCAAGTTCAAGTTCTAAAATGCTAATATTTTCTGCATGGAGAAATTTATCGACAGAATATAAGCTTTATAAGCATAAAAAATAAATTTTAAAGTAGTTTTCTGCCTATAATAAATTATTTCTTCAATTATGGTGGGATTCAATATGTGACATATTTCAAGGTATTATTCAGCTATTAAATACTTTCATATATTAGATCATGTCATGTCATGTCATGTCATGTTATGCCATTTCATGTCAAATCAGATCAGATCAGATCAGATCAAATATGGAAGTTAAAAGTACAAGGGAAGGGAAAGTTTTACCAGCTCTTCGTAGCACCATCCTTTTTGATACAAAGTCAGAATGCTTCCTGTCTGTTAATTTTGCTGTTATCGGCTTGCTTTCACTGCGTTTCAAAAGATTTCGACGTAACATTGAAATTCTGGAAGAATTAATCAACCAAAATCGCTATGAGTAGATAAAACATAAGACGATATGATAGACATTATATAAGGGATGGAATGTGCCAAAATTTTTTTAATAACATTCCAAAATTGCTCGCAATTCTGAATGAAATATGCCATAAGGTAAAATAGATGAATCAGTAAAGTGAATTTGCTAGAATCTATCAAATTCTATGGACTACTAAAAGTTCATTGGATGTGCAGAAAGCCAAAGTAAGAGAATAAAACTAAAAAATTTTGCTTTTTTTTTTCAACAAAATACAACAATGTCATGTGTTTATATTCAGGAAGAAGCCAAAATATTCTAATAAATTTATGGACTTTGTAAAAATTCACATTATTTAACCAATATTCTACTATCTATTTAATGTGAATTAAAACTACAAGTCAAAAATGCTTCAGTACTGAATTAACTTTTTTCACGGCATGCTTCTTTTTTAAAATAATAACATTAAAGTAATATTTATTAATTAATGTTTAGTATACTTATTCTCAAAGAGTAATATCTTGCAGTAAGTTATAAACTGCCTGAAAAGATAACGTTTAATAGCATAAAACTACTTTCCTTTCATATATTTTGAGCTAAAGTGTTAGACTAAGTTGAGATTATAAAAATTACGCGTGGAGCATGCAAAATACACTAATAATTGCCTTCAATATACAATACAGCGATAGCAGAATGGAATGCAAAAATGAACGATAAACAAATTGCGTACAGCTTTTTATTATAAGAGCGCGCACGGTATAACCAATTCCGGTGGTTACTTTTCTTCTTTACTCATTACTTTTTTGACTTTTTTTTTTGCAAATTTTTAATTAAAGTCTTTTTCTTTTGCATACAAACAGTACTTAAGAAACCGTTCTTAAGAAGTGAAAAAACAAACAAACAACTATTTTTTCAATAAAAGTTATGCTTATGGATGACTGAGAAATTAAACTGAGAATTAAAAGTAGAAAGTAAAATCTTCTGGTTAAAACAGTTATTAAGCATTTACTGTTTATCTGAAGTGATACTGACTACTTGATAAAATCAGCGTGACATTTTTTTGAAAAACTTTTTCTAATTTAAATTAAGTCAAGCATTACAAATGAAGAATAATAATATAAGTAGATTATATGCTGATTTCTTTTTTTCTTTTTAATTTTTAAAATTTAAAAAATAATACATTGCACATATGACCAAAAATAGAAAATAACTTGAACAGACCCAAGCAAGTATTATTTATTTATGAATAATAGAATGAAATTTGAAGCTTATCAAATAATATGCTTTTTATCTATTTTTTAAATAGATTTTGAATTTGTTGTGAAGTATAAAAATGTGATAAAGAATGCCAAAGCATTTGCTTACTTGATTGTTTCAAACCGATTGCTGATAGCATTCTTAGTGATGTTTTTAGAATGGGAAGTTTTAATGATGATAGAAATCGTTTTTTTCTGAAATTAACAATTATTCTTTAAATTATATTCATTGTATTTTTATGACTATTTATGGATATTTTAAATAATTTAAACAGAATTTCAGATTAAAAATGTTAAAAAATTTTGTAATTTAAAATAATACCGAAATAAATGATAATTGACAAAAAAAACAGCAATGCAAATTAAAAATAGACAAAGTTATTTAAAGTGACATTACTATTATTAAAATTAATTAGTCTAAGTCAATATTTTCCATTTTCATTTCTAATTTAATTATCTAAGAAGTAATTAAAATTGATCCACATTCTTGATCCCTTATATAATTTATTTTCACAGTTTTATCATCTGTATGTGAACATTATTTAATATTATAATAAACTTCAAAAAAAAAATTAACTCAATTCAGCTTATATTACTCAAATAAGTAGTAGCATGCTTGATGTTAGCTTTTTAAAATGAATTATATCATTAAGTGAGGGTGTGCTTTGCATTCAAATTATAAAATTCAATCATAAACTTCAAAGATATTCTTTAACAATCAGAAAAATTAAACATTAATCTGATGGCTTTTCAAATTTGCTCGCATTAAATTTGACTAAATCAAAATCTTTAAACTGTTGAATAACTGTATTTCTTCTACTTGATCAATTTCTTGTTTCAAAACTATGATAGTTGACAGTTAGCAATAATCATAAAGTAATGCCTTATTTGACTTGCAGGTCTAATTTCTAAATACAGTGCTGACAAATTAGCCTGAAGAAGTCGTGAAATATCTGAAGAAGGAATATAATCCAGTTTGCAGCCATTTATAGCTATAATCTGATCTCCAGGAGATAGTGCACCACATCTAGAAACACAAATTATAAAAAATTTCTGCAAGTATTATGTTCAAAGTATTTTTTGTTTTTTAAAATTCTAGTCAATTTATGTGTCAGACATAATTTTACAGTACTGTTTCTACAAATTACGAGATCCTTGTCTAAAGAAGCATTTAAATTTAAAAAGTATAAATTCTTTAAAAATATCTTCATTTTTTTCCTCTTTTTGTTTCGAAGAATTGACTTCTCACATACACTGAATGTCATTTAAAACGTTATACAATAAATAGTATCGAATAATTATTTCTTATCAAATAATCATTAAACATTTCAACCTATCAGCTGCTGATGCTGGTACTAGATGACTTATAAAGCATGTTTGTATGGCATTATCTGTATAATCAACTTCACATATTACTTCAATTCCTATATCCAAATTGATATCTCTTTCAATCGTCACACAAACATACTCATTTTTCCGATTCACTGTATCTGAAATCATTGTATTGTATACTGCTGATCATTCGATAGAACACTAACTATTTATAACAAAGTGAACTTGCACAAATCAGTGCAATCAAAACTGGAAAAAAAAATTGGAACAGTTGTTTTCATCAATATTTTCATTTAAGTAATTGCTATTGTTATTACAATCTTTGCAAATTTTGATATAAAAGTCATTAAAACTAAATGTGAACTTGGAAAGTAAATGTGTTGCAATGTTGTTGAACTGTAATTTAACTTCAAAATTTTTATTTAATTATAAGTGTGTCCTATGATAAATTATATATATTATAATTTTTAATTTAATAGTAATTTAATAAGTAATTATGGATATATATATATATACATAATTCATTTATGATTATATATATAATTTTAATATAATATGTTGCATGATTTACATAGAGCTAAATATCATGCAGAAAAAAAATCAGTTCAAAAATAGCGCAGTTTTTTGCAGTAAAATTTCTCACCAAATGTATTAATGAAATATTCAACAGTAAGGACAACAGTATTAATTGATTCAAAAAGTAGTTTTTGAACAGCAGCTAAGGTAGCATTTATTACAGTTGCACCATTGATACCAAGGACACGATCACCAATTCGTAAACGTTTTTCTCTGTAATTTGCATTGCAATACAATGTCAGAAATGGAAAATAGAAACGATTAGACTGCAAAATTCAACAACAAAACTTTGAATCAATCATTTCTTGCTTTTGAGAGTTTAAATTTTCAATATGGGAATTGAAGATGGATTTTATTGCAAAAGTTAGCACATAAAAGTTAGTATATGCTCAAAATAGAATAATACAAAGTTTCTTCATCAAATAATTCAAAAAAAAAAAATTCATTTTTCAGTAGAAACATAAAAATAGTACAAGTTGAAGCTTATTTCAGTAATTATGAAAAAAAATATATCAAGAATAATCATTACAAGGAATTTGTTGAATATTTGTTGTAATTATAGGCAATAATAATTTTTAAAAAACAAACCGATGAGCTGGGCTCCCTGTTCGAATATTCATTATTGTAATAGGCCTTGATTTTTCTTGATCTGGACCATACGCGCCACCACGTAAAGTTACACCAATACGATTATTTTCTTTCATTAATGCAATATCTGCACATGCTGACCGAGTATTTGATGGTTGTTTAAAATCTGCAAATTTGGAATTTGTTTGAAGCTTTACAATGATAAGCAAACTTTAAAATTTTTATTTCTATGATTAAAGATATTCAAAAAGTTTAATACTTTCATCATTGATATCATATTCCACTTGAAGATGTACACAGTTTCCAGAATTCCGTAATAATGTCATCATTTGATTATGTGTTAAATTGCTAACCTAAAATAGCAGCAAGCTATTTGTTTTACAATTTAGGAAATTTTTCAGCAAATGTTCATAAAACAAATGTTTCTTTTTTTATTAAAATAAAAGTTATTTCAATAAAAAATTTTTACAGAAATTCCATTTACTAGCTTCAAGCGTTCGCCCACACGTAACTCATCACTAGTATGTGCTACGCTACCAGGTCTTAAAAATGTTATCGATGGAGGTCTCAACTGATCAGTACCTCCTAAAATTAATTTTTCAAAAGTATTAACAAAATATATTCATCTATATGATCTTCAAATATTTATTCTTAACATAATTTATACAAATTATCAAAGAAATACACAAATGTGAATTATGAGACGTAAGTACATTTTTTTAATAAACGCAACCACAAATTTTTACTATTTTAGATTGCAGTTTATACTTTGATTATTTGCAACGTTTTTAACTGCTAATTTCAGATTTACTACCATTTGAAACATTTAGATCTGAGCTTAACAGATAAAATATTATTCTAATTTAATTCTTTTTTTGTTAAATCGAGCAGATTTATTTTTTGATAATTATCAAAGTACTAAGTCAGATTGAAAATTTTCTGACCCGTTAAGCCAATGCCAAACAAAGAGTTTGTACTTCGTTGAAGGTGAATATCAACAGCATTCTTAACTTGCCACTTTTCATCTTCATATTTCTTCTTTCCTTTCAAATTCTTACAAAAGCATCGACAAATCTCGCTACTGAATTTCAACTATTCACTACTGCACGTTGAATAAGTCTTGAGAGTAATTTAAAAATTTAATATTATCAAATTTTTTGATTATTTTGCATTAAATCTACCTTATGGTCTTTTTTAAATTTATATCTTGATTATAGATCGACAATATGGCGTTTCTAATTAAAACATTAATGAAATGAACTCACTGCGTGTCTCCAAATTTGATCATACCGGTATCCTTTTAATCCCTAATTAATGATTCTAGAATATATATATCTCATGAGGATCATATGGCTTTATTTCGAATAACAATAAGGAACGGCTAATATCAATTCTGATGTAGAACATATATTTGATGAAAAACATTGTAGAAATTTCTCTTAATATATTTAGCTTAAAACTAATTATTCATCAATAGATAGAAGTAAACAGTCGACCGCAATAATCGAATTTGTTATACAGTTTAACAATGTTTAATTAAAATAGTGAAAAAAAAAGTTAAAATAATTATTAGATTGAAAGCAAAATTATAAAAATATTAAATTTAATATTATTCAATAGCAGCAGCTGTAAAAAGAAAAATACCAACGCAGAAATATTAAATGACACTGTGAAAAATTGGCATAATTCATAGAAATGAATATTTTATCATCGATATTATTATCAATATCAATTGATTTCATGTAGTCAGAATTAAAATGAACAAAACGAGAATATGGTACTGCGTTTACGTAAATATATAAAATAAACGTTTCATATAATATAATCAAACGCTGAATTGGACAATCTTTATGATAGAAACAAGCTTACTATTGTATTCAGTAAATAACAAATTTGCACATTAGACATTCGAATTGGAATTGGATGAATTACCTGTATATTTTTCTTTTTAATACTACTGTTTATTTTAAATAAAAAACAAACAAATTGCTATCAAAATCAAAGTTTGCGATAAATGTTTATTTTAAGTCGGTTTTATCATATATCAATGCAAAACTTTGCCTATCATGAATGAAATGATTTGAAAATTACTTCTCATATAATTATTTTGTGATAGCCATCCTTTTTTCCTTCAGCAATTGCTATTCTTAGCTTATAATTTCCAATTTTTTTATACTTTTCTTTTTTCAAAAATGCACAACAATTAAGAAGTTTATATTTGCAAATTTTAACACACATTTAAGACTACAAAAATTAAACAAAAAATATAGCAAAAATAAAATAAATGAATCAATTTTCAGATAATTTTACAAAAACTTTATATATATATATATTATATCGACCATAACGATAAAAAAACTAGGGGAATGGATTCAGTAGCCATTAACCTAAATTTCAGCCTCATTTGCATATATACCTCATAATTCACACATGCATATTTATCAATCTATCTGCTAATCGATCTATCATATTGCCACACGTCTGTTCTTTTGCACTGGTAATAATTCAGTTTAAAATTTTGATAGATTGATAAGCAAAAATGAATAAATCATTGAAGTGTTAAGTTCTAGAGATAAGTAAATAATTCATCGTTTTAATTCTTTAAAAAAATCTATTCCAAAAGATTTTAGATACTTCTCATTAATTGGTAGTTAAAATTAAGCATAAAACTAAAAAGAATGAAAACGAAACTAATTATAAAAGTATGCATAAACGATGATCTAAATTATACGATGAATTAAATATTGTGATTTAAAACAAATTATTATTAGTATTATATTTACAAATTTTACAGTCCAATATATTGATGAAGTATTTTTAATTACTGATAAAATAATACAGAGCAATCAAAACATAAAATCTTCACCAAAATTTTGAATTTTTCATTCCTTTGCATTTGACAATGTACTGCAAAGAGTATATCATTTCTAAATCTAAAAACATAAATGCAGTGATAAAATTTGAATAATTTTTCATTGTCTATATTTAGTATCTGAAAAATTTGAACAGTAATAGATTGTTAGGTAATTATTACTTAATAATTCATAATTGTTAGAAACGCTTTTATACTACTTATTAATTTAAATGAGTAAAAAAATATAAAAAATTTTAAAAAGTTATCCTTTTATGAAAAAATGATGTAAAATTAATAAATAAAAAGTCTTGTAAAAATACAATATTAGCAAAAAAATTTTTGACAATGCATAATAAAAATAAAGCTAGCAAAGAAGAATTCATTCATAAATGAAAAGAAATAAAAGAAAAAAAAGCGAGAAAAATGTTGTAGTTTCAATGATAACAATTATTGTTATAAAATAATTGCTGAAATTGTATTCAAAGTGTTATAAATTGGTTAATATTAGCAATAAATATAGCAGGCAAGCAAAAAGAGCAGATGATTTCAAGAAGTGAATTATGAAAAGCAAAAATAAATAAATGGTCAAGATGGTCGAGTGGTATCAAAGTGAAACACCTGCAAGTAGCCAGTCCAGTCAGTCTTAATGAGCAAAGTCAGACGACGCATTGTAAATGATTTTTCATGCCAGAAAACACAAATAATACAAACAATAATATCTTAAGAAATGACACAGAAATTAGTCTTAGCTTTGATTTAATTCATTTTTCATCGGTAACATTCTGTTGTAAATGTGTTTATATGTATGTATTTAAATTATGCCACTTCCAATTATTTACATTAAAATGCAACTAATAGATTAGCAGTAAAATAAACACACCAAAAGCAGTATATTTTCATGCTTATTTCTTATAAATAATTTATATTAAATTTATCAATCTATAACTATTATTATTTTATTTATTTTTTGTTACTTTTTTTTTTGCAAATATTTTTAATAAATTTTTTCTTTTTTATTTATGCTTAAAACAAAACTACTCAATAGTTTTGTTAATAATGTAAACAAGTTTAAATAAATTAAAAAAAAATGCATGTAAGCCAATTTTTTGATAATTTTTATTTTATTTTAAAAACAAAGTATTCTTTTGTAACCTTTAACTTATTCCATTACAATTTCAAATTGCATTCAGTATGCAATTGTTACTGGATTAAATTTGAATATCATTTATGAGGAAAAATAATTTTTAAAATTCATTTTTGAGCTACAAATCAAAAAAGCATCATATTTTAACAAGTTGAAATATCACAAGCATAGAATCCATTGAGTTCTTCTGTATGATAAGAAAAGGATTTAAGCAATAATCTCCATAACATAATGCTGGTTTCTTAGATAAATTTGAAAATACTTTAATCTTTATAGTTAAATTAACTTAAATTGAAGTAATATTAATGTTTCACTCATGAAATTTAGTTTTTCTTATATGATGCATCTAATTTTTTTACAAAATTCATTAAAAAATTTTTATTCACACTTTTAATACAAGTTGAAATATCTGAGAAATCTGTTGCTTGACCAAGTTTAATTACAAAGTCTATTTAATAAATCAAGATCACATTCATTACTTATTGATGGAAAATTCTGGTAAATATCTACTAATGAGCGGCATATTATGGTAGCTATTATGTGTGTATGGTTTTGTGGTCAAAAATACGTCACTTTCATTGCTTGTTTATGCATAGAAAGTGATAAGTTCTTGGTTAGTTTTTTTTGAGAACTAAATCAGTATTGTTTGCATTTTTTATTACATGGCTGCTGTAGTTTTGATGTTAAATATGCATATAAAAGTTTTCATGCAAAAGTGAGATTTGGGCTTTGTTTAAGGACAATATTTGTGCACTATATTATAATGTGTATTAAGAAAAAAAAATGATAGATAGGTACTGTGAACTCAAAAATAATATTCTGATTTCTAAGATAAGAAGACGCTGAAGACGAATTATATTAAATTTGGAAAATAGACTGAAATATTATCTTAGCTAATTCTGAAGAATAGAAGATGGTAAGATCAGTTTTGTTTTATTATTAATTGCATTATTTAATAATCGTCTTATTTGCAGTCTAACAAATTAGCAATTCAAATAATTTCTGAAACTAAAAGCTATCATTGAATGATAATATTTTGTAAATTTTTAATCTAAACAGGACTGGTTTTTTTGCTTGCCTTGCAAGAACCTTAGCTGTTGAGTTAATTTGACGCATATTTGGCGTAATAATTTTAATGGTATTATTGGTACTTTTTTTTTGATTACAAATATAACACTATTAGAAAATAAAATTTTTTAATTGCTTTAAATAAATTCACTAAAAGTAATTTAATTTATGAGATGAAAAGATTATTTTTTGAAATTTTTGAACCTACTGAAAATAGAAATGGCAGTTTTCGATTTGGTTTAGCTGAGTAACGATGAAATATAAGTAATAATAGTTTAGAAATTATTTGATAACAAGTTTGATTTATAAAAATAAAGCAGACAAAATCTGTTATAAATTTTCAAAGAAGCTTTGAATGCACATTTAACGGTCATTTTTGTATTTGCTATTAAAAGAGGTGAAACATTTTAAAAACCAAAAATTTACTCAGACTGTAAATTGTTCTTTTAGTAATTAATATACAAACTTTTAGAAAGATATAATCCTTAAAAAGATTTATGCATAATGTTTACTTACATAAAATAAAATTTTTGTGTGGTTTGCAGAATGAAAACAATTTTAAGAATAAACGTTATTGACAATGTAACAAAAATAATTGGGCAAGCAAATGTTAAAATGTAAATTAAGACAGTTATATGTTCTATAAGACTATTTTTTGTATGATTCATAATTGCTAATTAATTGTTTTGCCTTATATTATGCAGTGATGATTATTACTGTTTGATATCCTCTAAAAAATTTTTTGATTTAGGATACACAAAAAGAACAAGGACAACAGACCAAGAAATTATCAAAAGGTAGTCCTAAACTATACAAATTCGGAAGTATTTTATCAAATTCGCAAACAGCGACGAATTTGAATAGATTTTCAAATTTAAACATTTTGTCGAGCCCAAGTAATCCCATGAAAATGGAAGGTATTGCAAGTTTCAACAGCTCACTAAATATGTCCACGTCGGAATACAACTCCCCACTAAAGCTAAACGCCTTGGCAAACTTGAGCAGCACGCCTACACTGAATTCATTGGCAAAAATTAATGCTCCTGAAAGTTTGAATAGTTCACCAATATTGAGCAAATTGGCAAAGTTGAATGCTTTGCCAAATTTGAGATCATCGCCAATGTTGAATATACTGGAAAACATAAACACATCGATGGAGGCAAACACATCAGTAAATTCAAATTCAGCAAAAGAAGTGAATATCTCATTAGATTCGGATAATGGAATAAAGTTGGACACTTTAGCAAATTCAAATAATGCAGCAAACTTGAGCAGTTCGCCAGATATAAATAACTTGAACATCACATCAGATTTGACCCCTGTGGTAAGCTTAAGTCTAGAAATATTTTGAGCTTTATAAATAACTGACGCATATTGGCAAGTACAAATACTTAATTAAAAGAAGGACTAATTTTTTTCTAATTACGATTTTTTGAATTATAAAAATCATTTTAATTTTAAAGTTTATTTCAAATGCATTAAACAAGCAGATGATAAAATTGCAGAGTAGTGAAGGAAATATATCAATTATGAGTAGTACATTTTCTAAGGTTCCGGAGATATCACCTACCCCGGATATAGGTAAGATTAATCAGAAAACACTTAAATGCCAAATAATTTGAACAGATTTTTAGTTACGTTTTTTGGTATTAAGTTTAACCGCTGTAAATCAATATTAATCATTATTGCTACATCATTATTGCTCAATATTAATCATTATTTAAACTGAGAAAAATATTTTATTATTACACTACACAAGATGTAATTGCAGATAATATAACAGTCACGCTTGAAAATCCTTTGCAACGTACAGAGTGCGCAGATTGTGAATTCATTAGTAAAGAAATCCAATTGCTACACAGAAATGTTAAAATTTTGACTCCTAATAAATTCACTTTTGTTATATTGTTTCACCCTATCTTCCTATCAATTAATTAACTTTTGGTACGGTAAAAAAATGTTTAGGTAGCTGAATTAGAAAAACTTTGCGAGTCATTTTCTCAGAAACAGCCTACATCTTTACCAAAGAATTCATCAGGAGAGGTATGGTACTACAATTTGTAAATATTGTTATGTCTTGTTTTGTCATAATTGTAAAATAATTTGTGAGGATAGATTTTAGAAATGAATAAAAATTTTGAGATCATTTTTCAGATTTTTGAATTAAAAAAAGTTGTGCCAAAATTGTTTATTTACTTTCTTTGTTCTCTTTCAGAAAATAAATTTTACAGGGTGAGATATTACCAAGACGTTCTAATGAACTGGAAAATAATGAAAGTGAGGAAAATTTTGATGAACTTAGCTATTGGGAAGCGAATTGTGTAAGATATATGACAAAATAGTTATTGTAGTAAATGCTACAAACATATAAAAATATTATCACGTGATATCAGAGAGCATTTATTGATACTGTGATTAAATTCAATTTTGTCTTGAGTATATTTGGCATGAGTTTTGAATAAGCTGAGAGCAGTAGTAATTTGAAAACAATAGTTTTTATTTTATTTTTCAAATTGATAAAATGATTATTACGCAAAAGTTAACGTTGATGCTTCAGGATGAATTAAAATCAAAAATTGAACGCCTCCAACAAAATGCAGCTTCAATAATTAATTCTTGCGAATTGCAGTTGGAACAAAGTGTTAATGAAAAACAATTTCTTGAAAAAAAAGTTATTAAATGCTTGTTTTGTTTCATTTAAAGTTATTTATCTATATTCATTCAAGATAATTTAATCTGTTGCATATATAATATGTACTAAAAACTTGTGACTTACTGGTCTAACAATGGAAAGCATATAATGAATAACAAATAATTGAATTGTAGATATTAAAAGGTCAAGAACAAGTTCGAAAATTAGAAGAATTGGTAGGAGAGCAACACAAGATTAAAATACGATTAACAGATACCATAGCTGTAAATTATTTAACGAAATTTTGTTTATACTTGCAGAAAACGAGCGCTTTTAAATATCTGTCTAAATGAATATATTGATGCAAAGGCAATACAATTAAGCGAAAAGTTTTGTAAGACAAAAATGCAGTTGTTGATGAATTTTTTGATATGATTGCGTGTGTTTAAGACTGGGCAAGCAAGAGCATTGGGACAAATTGAGGAGCATAGAAAGGGATTAGTGGAGGCTGCAGAACAGAAGATATTGTCAGTCACTAAAACTTACCGCAAGAGCGAAGGTGAATGTAAAAAATTAGAAGAAACATTTCAAATGGTACAAAAAAAAAATGAATATCTTACTAATCGTCTGGCATCAGCTTTGGATGAAATGAAGAATACAGAAGTTGGAGCAATGAATGAAAATGAATTCCGTTGTTGTTTTGAGAAACGATTAAGTGCAATTGGAGAAAAACTGAAAACAGAAGTGACAAATCCTGACATAGTATGGGTCGGTCAAGAAAATTTAGAATATGCTTTGAATGGATTTAGTGCAGCTGTAGAAACCATCTTGGATGAAGAGCCTTGTCTTGCCAATTTAGCCCGAAGAATTAGTGGCCTTTTGAACAGTGAAAAAAATATTACAAATGAGGTTCTCAAATTTTTGTAATTGATAAAAGATTTCAATTTTATTCCAATATACTATATGTAATGAAATTGTTTAATAAATTTATAGGCAAAGATATTACCTGAGAATGAAGGTGATAGAAATTCAGCGTGTCTTCCACAGGAGGAAATTATCATGGTATGATGAGGAGTATTTGAACTGAAAAAAGGTTTGGTAAAGTAAGCAATTCACTTTTTTTTTGCAGGAATTAAAAGAAGAGATATTAGGCGGAATTCAGGAAATGTTAGAGAAGCTTCAAGATCAACAATCAGCACAACTTTTGAATAATGTTTGCAAAATCATAGATGGAGTGAAAAATTCAACGAAAGTAATTCGACGTTGGATTGAAATTTCATACTTTACTACCCAAAAATTTTACCTTTCATAACATTTGTGATGATTAATTTTTGCTTAAGAAATATTGAAAAAATATTCAAACGAACGCTTCTCCATTAATTTCTAAAAGTACTGTACAAAATAATGCTACGATTAGACTAAAAATTTTGCACACATTCATTGTGCATTAATAGCAAATGCCAAATAACTTTTTAAGCATAAACAAATATAAACTTGATATTGCTTTAATCTTAATTTTTAGGATATTGATGCTAATTTGATATTGCGTTTGGAAGATTTAGCTTGTATTGTGAATGCTCTTGGCAAAAAACAAGCGAAATTTTCTACTATGGAAGAAAAAATGGAAACTGTTAAATTAAAGATAGATATACTTTTTCAAGCTGTCACTGAATTCAGCAAGCATGTTAAAGCTCGAAAAGAAATACAAAAAATAACTGAGAAATCGCAGTTGCAACATACAGATGCGTCAAGTAATACATCACGTCTTAGCAAAGAAAGTGCGGTAAATTTTAATTAATATCTCTTTTATTTACAACTTTATACAATTTATAATTATTTAGTCGATGCTTTAATGGTTTTATATTTTAGACCCTTTTAAGCATAGAAGTTTGCAACATTTTAAAAATGAAATTGCAGTTTTTGCGTAAAATTGTTTAGCGAATTGCTTTTTTTAGCTTAAGTCTGTTTTAACATTTATGAGTACAGGACTGAATAAACAAGCTTTACAATTAAATAAGAACTAATAAAATTTAGGATAGTCCAAAATTTGAAGTTAGTGATGATTTAAAAATGCGATTTGAAGAATCTCCAAAGAGAATAGTGATTTCATCTGAAGAAGAAGATGATGAATATCCTTCCCTGCATAATCTTTCAGCTAAGTCAAGTCATAAAAAGGTGATGTCTTTGATTTTAATTTCTTTACATTATCAAATACTTTTTAAACTATTATTGACAAAAATTTTTTATTTTTTTAATTGATATGTGAATGAGTTTATGACCATTTTTTACAGATTATAAATAAGTTTGTTGGTGTATCTTGACCATTCAATAATTACAATTTGAATTTGTTTATATTTTAGTACAAAGGTAAGAGAAGAGATGATTCACAAAGTTCGACAGAAGCTTTGATAGAAAGTAAGTATATTTTAACCTATACAAACGTTGTAGGAGGTTTGCAAAAAATTCATGATAAAAATTTTCACGAGAGATTTCAATTTGCTTGAATTCGGAAAGCATTACATTCAGATACTTTGTAGCTGAAGTTGAAATATAAAAAACTCATCAAAACTCTTCCTTATTAACAAATTTATCAACCATGGCAATAAAGCTGGAAAGCAAATTACTGCTTGATTTTTGAATTTCAAATGCAAATAACTGCTGAAATTTCTAGCAAAAAGTCCATCAAAAAGCATGCATAGAAAAGAAAACTCAAAGTTTTCGAGAACTTCTCGGAAGTCATCCGATTTAAAATTGCCAACATGTTATCAATCTTGAAATTTAATGTGTAAAGTCATACAGAAAGTGAATACGTTATGACGCTGTATTTTATGCTTATTCTACTAGATTCATTTCGTATTTACTCTGCGCAAATCGAACTTTAGTGAGACAATCTTCCATTTAATGATGATCTTCCACTTAAGGTAAATTACCTTTTTGTTGATGTTTACATTCAAAAAGTTGCATTTTTTCTCTCTTTGTTATTTTGCCTCATTCTATGTATTCGTGAATTATTTAGTGCATTATACTTTTTGTTATTTTCCTGATACTGTCCATGCTTGCTCATGTTATATATTTCAATTTTTGTTCATCTTTATTATACAAAGTACCTTAATTCAGTAAAAATCTTGACACTTATATTATTTCCTATTAAAATATCTTACGCTTTATTCAGCATTACGAATTCATCAAAGGTTATTTGATTAGCTTTATCAATTGCTCACATGAATTGTATATGGTATTGTCGTGTTCATTTTCTTGCCAAATTGAAACAGAGATAAAAATAGTGCAATGAGTTTTTATGGCTTGGAACCAACTTGGTAAAAATTAAAATTTGAAAATTCAAGAGAATACTTGATAAATAATGGTAGCAGCTTCAAATTACTACCAACTGTAGCAGTTACAATAGTTGATGTGACACTTGAATTTTCGTTCATTTCAATTGAACAAATAGCTTGTCATATGAGGAGTTTAAATGACCTGTTTAAATTATCGTCATGATACTTGATTTAGTGACTTTCCTCCAGCATTTTAAAGTGTTGACTTTATTCAAATGTCCCAATAATCGGTTTCCACGATGCTCATGCTACATCGCATCAAGGACATTTTTTAGAATAGTTAGGACAATGTCAGGATAGATTAAAATTTTACTACATTTGCGTCATGTTACATGAAAAAATACATAATTTGGTACTGTATATTCTACGGAATCAAATCATTGAAATATATTAAAATTTTGCTACTAATAAAGAAAATCGAGTTAATCATGATACCAAGCATTATCTTCTAATACAAACCTAACTTTACTACATTTGCATCATGTTACATGAAAAAATACATAATTTGATACTGTATATTCTACGGAATCAAATCATTGAAATATATTAAAATTTTGCTACTAATAAAGAAAATCGAGTTAATCATGATACCAAGCATTATCTTCTAATACAAATTTATAATTAGTCTCTGGTGACTGTAATAAATGCCTGAATAATGGCAAGGACTACAGTATTGTATCGATCAAGTACACGATTTAAGCACCTTTACCAGATCTTGCACAGAATTTCTGCCTTTGAATACTCTGCTCGCATCTCCTGCGATCACTTTCAATTCATATCTAAAATAACATAAAGCATGTGTTGAATATCATGCACGAACGTGAAATTTATAAACAGCCTTTACATCGTCTCTTCTCAGACAAAATAATTATCTGTTTCATTGCTCCAAGTTTGAATTAATATTCTGATCATATCATACTGATCACAATGTCCCCGATAATCATTCTATTACAATCATATCTGAATTTTCTATTCCTTAAACAAGCAAATATCATCGATATTTGAAAAAACTGTACTTACTCTCTCCAAGCATCAGTTACAACAACAACGAAAGTTCGTACGTTCGGTAATTGATGAAGTCGGGCAGCTGGTTCATCTACCAGATCATAGCTGCAGTACATAATTAAAAAAACTGAAATAAGTAAAACTTTATGGGTGGTCTGCGTAGCAACGAAGAAGACGGAAGGCAAGATTCTGTTGTGTGTAAATGACTGTTATGTGAAGTAAAGACATGAAAGGTAGAGAGAGAGAGGGTGAGAGGAAGAACTGAGTGCTAGCACATTTATATCCAGATGGAAGAATGCAAAGGGTAATGAAGAGCAGAAAACTTCGCCTGTGGCACTGAAAGAAGAAATTTTGCAGGAAGACGTTATGAATGCTTTGTCACAAAGTGTGACAAATGAATTGAGTAAGTGCGTGTGTGGTCTTTTGACAGATGTGATGGTCACTATGAAATGCTTTGTTTCACGTTTGGACTTTGTAATGGTAGGAAGGAAATTCTCTAGATATAGTGTGTTTCAACGACCTCTCAATACAATGAGAGTTCTTTATGCGTTAATGCAACTAATGTCTGCTTTGAAGAAGACTTGCAAACTAGATTGCAATGTAGCAAATAGCATTTTTTTCGCTGCTCTAAAAAGTCTACACAATATGTAATCATACAACTAAATTCAAAATTTTGCTGAGCTGTCAATTGGCACGCTACCTTTTAATCAAAAGCAAAAGATGATTAGCTATATCCCAAACTGTAAGATGTTAGGATTCATTGTTCGTCTTCATAACAATTGGAAATAAGATGGTTGCTGAGACGATACTGCTGCGCATAATTCAGATGGCTTAGAAACGAAACATGATTTGGTGAAGAATTAATAAAAATATACTATCAGAGATTTACTGTAAACAATAAAATCTGCAAATTACAGAAGATTATCCACTGTTTTTTTAATCTATAAATTTGTTTTTTTTGTGTAGGATGTGCCAGCAATCGGAAAACTCAGCATGTAGTGGGCATAGCGATGTTTTAAAATGGATAATACTTACTGGGTGGTCGTTATCTGAACAGTTTAATTACAGTCCGGACGGTTTATAACAGTCTGAGAGCAAAAACTATGAATGCTGTAGAAATTCAATGACGTGATATCTATAAACGAATGCTGTTGTGTGCGTCTACCGACAACAAGCACAAACAACGTGTGTGGTCATTCTGCCAAAACATGAAAATCAGTTGATCAGTGAGTTGTATGAAGTCTGACATGGTAAGCTATACCAGTGCGTTAAAACTTCCGTGGGGGTCTGCAGAGCCAGAAACAACCAGGAGGAGGAAATGAGGGGGAAATGAGCAGAGGGTGAAGAAATGCAGAAGACTCGGGGGGTGTCTGAGATCGAATTCGAGAGCCTTATGCGCAAGCGAAAAAGGAAAACTGACTGGCACTTTTACTGATGTGTGGCATTTTAAAAAAAAGTACGAAAACTTTGCTGGTGGCCTTAGAAAAAACTTTGCTGGTGGCCTTTCAGTATTTGGACCGAAAGTTGATGGGTGGTATTGACATATGAGAACTATAGAAGTATTGAGTTATAATAACTTTTCTGCAGGTCCATAACAAATTCTTGATGTGTGGTCTTCATAGAAATAAAAATTTCAAAAGGTCAAAGTGTTCTGCAAGAAACTTGAATTTAAAATCAATTCAAAAAATTTTTGGCGCTAAATTAAGATATTTTTAGGCGGAAAAATAAATTTAAAATGGTTTTAAGCGGGAAATAGGTTTAAGCGCGAAATATAAACATTTTTAAATATGCAAAATATTTTGATTTCGGGCGTCAGATCAATTAAAAATATATTTTTTGATCGCAAAATTTGCTAAAAATTCTAGGCGCGAATTCGCCTTTGAAGATTTTTGATTGTGCGAAATCAAGTGAAAGGGCTTTCAAGCATAAATTTGTTCAAATTTGATTTTAAAAAATTTAGATAGCAAAATTCGTATCTAGCAAAATGATAAGTTGAAAAGAAATATTATCAATTCCTCAAGCTGTTACAGTGATTATTACGGTTACTACAGTGCTTGTTACTAGTGTTACGATAAGTTATAGCTACTGTGCAAAGTGTTAAGATAATCGCCACAGTACTGCGCTCAATACGGTATTCATACACTACCAAGGATTTTTTACTGTAGTGTACAGTGTTAGTGCAGTAATACGGCGGTAAATTGTTACAGTACTAGTGATATTTCTAAGTCATTTCAAATACCGAAATTGCAACAATGAAGCAGGACCTATGCCACTGCAGTACTTATCGTGTTCCGCGAAATATAGTAAGAATGGAATTCTTATATTATTGGACATAAATGATGTTCATAAATGATATAAATGATGATATATTTTTAAAAACTTCTGGGGTCAGTGGGGCAGATATGAATAGTAATTAAAAGCTACTGTAATATAACATACGATAATATAGGTGTTTCGGCAGTGCATAGGCAGCGTATAAACATTACTCTGAAATTATTTTGTAATAACATTGGATTGTATCATAGAGGTATTTTATTTTTCAATGACCTATATTGTATATAGGTACTTCAGAAATTATTCATAATTTATACGGTATTTTTGAGCTGTTATAGTATAGACATAAAATTTCAAAATGCCGCGCAACTTAACGTTAGAAACTTCGTTGGTGGTCTAGGAAGATCAAGTTGATAGTTTTGGGTAATAATGTACCACAGTAACTTGGTAATAACATACAATGACACGGGTGGTATTATAAGGCTACTTTAATATAAATAATATTCTCAATGACGCATAAACAGTGTTGTTTCCAAAAATTTCTACGATATTTTAGAGCTGTAATAGTATAGATGTGAAATTTCAAACTGCCGCACAAATAATCGTTGGAAACTTTGTTGGTGGTCTAAGAGATCAAGTTGATGTAAATGATCACTGTGCAGGATATTTCTGTAGTTTGGATGCCCGTCAAAGTGTCATAGTTCTGGCAAAAATGTTTGGCAACTTCTTGGGTGGTCTGAAGCAAGAAATTTGTAACTTCCCAACAAAGTTTCCAATACGTCAAACAAATCGGAGGCAAGCATGAACTTTTTCCAGCATCGCAGCAAGTAAATTGCTTATAGGTGGTCTTCTGATAATTTTGAGCAGAGCTTTCAATAAAATGCTATTTGCTTGTAGTTTGCTTTCTGTTCAAAAAATGCCTCAATAATAGAACTGAGCGCTTATCATTCAAATTTTTAGTTTTCGCGTGCAACTTCTTGCACTCACAAACTCTTTGAAAGACATTCAGTGCAAAAGAAAAACAAAGTCCAAACTATCCTTAATGAGATTTGCTCCTTTTTTGCATACTTTACAAGACATCTCTATCCAATTAAGACCTTTTTCGGTATTTGAATTTTTAAGTTATTACTAGTACAGATATTGTTGTATAATTACTACTTTTTTGCTTATTAAAGGAATGAATTAAAGAAGTTGGAGAATAAGATTTAAGCTAGAGATTACTTCAACGATTGAAGGACCAAATTTATCTAGTATTCTCGATCGATTAGATTTCTGACATATTATTTTTCAATATTGGATATAACATACCTGAAACCATCTGTAATAATAATAACGTTAGTAATTGCATTTGGACGCCGCTCTTGCAGTACATTAAGTGCAAGGTCAAGTGCTGCACCGGTGGCCGTTATCCCCGCGAAAAATGGTAATTCTTCAAGTAAATAGTTATTACTAATTATTTATGATTGAAGAAATTTGAATTGTAATTTAACTTTCATTTTGTCTATAACCATCAATATAATTTAAAGATAAAAGCCTTTAATGTGGCTACGCAATAGGAAATTAATTTTTTAATTCGACTTTATTGCAGTGAATTTTACTTGGACGTCAGTAATATTCATTATTGCTTATCAGAGTTGAATCTCCAAGAATTCAAAGTCTAATTTTTTACGTCAGTACAAGATGAAGAAAGTAAGTATTACTAAATGAAATTTACTTGATACAGTATTGATCACTTGAGTTCGATTTTTGTGAGCTTGAAAGGGTAGTTTAATTTTTCGTCGTAAGGAACTACTATATTCAATTACTGCAAAAAACAGATCGTCAGTTTATTTAATATAACCGATTTATTTGTTGTATTCTATCAAGTAAGGGATGCGAAAATATTTTTACTTTTATATACAAATTGCTTTCATTTACTTTGTTAGTTTTGAGGAAAATCTTTTGTTTAAGTTTTATAGAAAATAAGGGACTTTAGAAAGTGGGAAATACCCGTGGATGGGGATTACTGACCTCCAATCCTAGTTGTTTGGTCATCGTCTGGAAGAATTGCTTTGATAACTTCAACAGCATATGCTCGATGATCTTCAAAATATCGTCGAACTGAACTGGTTGAATCAATTACAAAAAGTGCATCTTTTTCGCATTCTGAAATATAGTTTGTATCATTTAATTTTGTGGCCTCCCCACACATTTAAAGTCAAAACATGAAATTAATATATTATAGAAATGAAGGAGTGTGATCAGAATCATTTTATTAAATATGTGTTTTAATTAATATTGTGTATTGCATCATACAAGATAAAATATCACTCAATTGAAATAATGAGTAATTCGATATATAAAAATAATGTAATAAACTTAATTGATCCAGGTTCACTTGCAGGAGTGATTTGGTAAGGATCAGCCGGCGATGGTATTTTTAACGCTCCCATTCCACGTGCATGCTCTGTATTTGGTTGAGCTGGTCCCGTGATCGGTGTATGTGGTGGTAGACGAGCTGGTTGCAGTGGTTTACTCTGATGTAAGGTTGTAATGAATGAAAAAGATTTTTATTTCATTATAACAAAGGGAACGTACTATACAGTAGTTTATAGTGAGCACGACAATGTTTTTTTTTTCTTTCAAGATATATCAAATTTGAATTGTCACTGTTTCCAAATTGAACAAAATAGAAAAAGGTTAAATGATGCCGCTGAATTCAAATTAAAATGTGATATTATCATTGCTAAAAATTTAGAAGTTGAAATCTGGAAATAGTGACAATTCAAATTTAGCATGTCGATAAAATTTTGAATAATTAGAATTATATTAAATAATTTTAATAACTTATTTATCATTTCTATTCATTTCTTATCACAAAGCGAGAAAATTCTTTATCATGACTGATTTATATGACCAACCATATTTTTGTGCTGCGAAAAATATTGACTCATTATTTCAGCACTTGGTGCTAAAACTTCATGCTTCGAAGTTGCAGAAATAGCTGTACTAGTTAGCGCAGTAGATGATGTGGTAGGTGGTCCATATAACGTTTCCAAACCAAGCGGTTGTTGAGGTGATGCCGTTGAAGCCAAATGCTGTTGTGAAGTTGTCATTATCAAGAATTTCAAGGAGCTAACATAGCTTAAGTTAGATTTTCTATCTTGTTTAGTGGTTGAAATATTTCCAATAATTTATGGAGTTCAAATTTTACTTCGTCTATTGTCTTATTCGATTGCGGACTTTTGTGAGTATTAGTAATGTTCTTAGGTCGTTGAGACTGTACTTCATGTTTACAGAGAACTTCTTCTGGTGCGGCAAATGCATAACTAGACGGTGGTGTTGGTGACGGTGGCGCAATATGGCCATATTGAGCTTTACAAGTCTGTAAAAGAAGCAGTGTGGCTCTGAGTTCACTTATATTGAGATTTGAAATATTTTTTTGATAATTTTAGCAATAAGATAAACAAGTAAATAATAATACTAACTTGTTGAATAATTCATTGTTTATCAATGCATATTTCAACAAAAATCTAAGCTCAAAAGTAAATGTATATTATTTCATTGCTAATTCGGTTAAGGTGTTGTATAAGTATTATAAACCTTTGCAATTTACTTAAATTTACTTATCTATAATTTTAAATGTATTCTACGTTAATTTATGCTCAATTCATTCTAATTTTCTGTTGTCCTTTACAAATAACTAAATTCTTATATGATTAGAATGTTTCATTAACTTTAAAATAAAAAGAATGATATGAAGTATATTTTGAGATAAAATAGTGTGTTCCTTTGTTGCCGCTATTTATTCTCAGTCTTAAGACGTGTTTCACAGCATCTATCATAGTTTACTCAATGATGTGAAGACAAAACTTTTTTTTACCCAATAATTCTGTAAAACATGCATGAATTAGGCATACGTTTATGTGAAAGTAGAAATAAATTGAATAACTTACAACGATCAATAGAATAAACGGGAGAATTGCGATCATTTCTTGTAACTGCAAACAAATTATTCGTTAACTTTTACGTGGATAGAAGTACCTTCAGTGGAAAAAAGTACTTTCAGTTTCTTACTATATTCACAATTGATGAGATAACGTATTTTAGGTTGAGAAATGATGCTCTTGATGGATTATCAAACTAAGGATGTTTGCGATTATTGAAATTTTGGACTAGAACGACTGATTTATTGAAGGTAGGAAAATTATATTGCTTAAAGCAGAGCTAGTAAGTAATAATATTGCACTGGTGATCGTAACCACTACTTATTTTGCAATGTGTTTAATTTTTTAAATCTGAAAAAGTTAATATTTTTTACTACAAATTAAACAAAATGATTTGAACAGACATTCTCGTTTTTGAAGCTTGCTTAATTTTATAGCAAGTCTTTGTATCAAAATAAAAGTCATTTCAGATTGAACGCAAAAACATGATTCAAATTTATCTCTTGATTATTAAGAAATCATAGTAATTGATCTGATCTAGATTTGAAGACTGCATTAGATGCTAGCTTCATTATATTTTTAGCTTCGCATATCAAATTTGATCAAAAAAAGCACTAATTTTTGCACTTTATATTGAGCTAAAGAATGATTAGGAGAAAAGTTAAAACAATTTAAAAAATAGAAAAGGTTAAAATAATCCAAAAACTTAAACAGTACAACCCACAACTAACGAAAATGATCAAGATAAGTATATAAATTAAAGCACGTATGAAAAACTAAAATGTATTTAACTTCTTTTATAAACACGTATTTGTCTCGAAGTATCTACGACTTTTTCCAATCATCAATATGCATAGACAGCAGTATATGCGTGGCATTTCCTTGTTTTTTCAAAATTAAGATTTATCCTCTGATTACTTTTGTTAGTATTTTAATGAATGTGAACAAAGAAAAATTTTTGTAAGAAAAAATGTGAAAAATAAGAAATTTTTGAACAAGAACTTGACAGTCACATTCTTTCTCATTTATCAAAATAGTAGTATGTATAGAAATTAATTATGTTTGTTTCAAGTATTTTAAAATGTTTCAATTTTTACTAACTTAATAAAATTTAATGAAAATGAGGCAAAATGAAAATAAATTAGGTTATATGTGTGTGTACATACGCTTTCTTTGTAATAATTATCATGCAGCCATGTCAAAATTTAATGCAATTGGGCTACATCACCTCCAAATTCTACAAATTTAGCTTATTATTAATAACTTGAGCTTTTTCATGCAATAAGTAACGTAAAATAATGTTGAATTATTTCATCCACTTCAATAGCAGTGTAACTTGAGTGTAGCTAAGTGCGGGAGTTCAAATAGTTATTGCAGATAAATTGTCTAAAAGATGTTTTCACATATCTTAGGAATAGGTATAAAGTTCTTAAGATAATAATTGCTATATAGTCAGTGCTATAAAATTTAATCTTTTATTTTTATAAGATGCGGATAACATTACCACATACCCAAAGGCATTAATTACATTTGATTAAAGTGAATATCAAAGTTGTAATGTGGTCAGTCCCACAATCCATATATTTACATCAAGTAATTGACGCAGATATTAAGAACAGCTTAGGAACGGAAAGTTAGTTTGTACAAGTTTATATATTTGTATGTTATGATGTCACAACTTCAATAACCATTTACATACTAATTTACTGTCTGCCATATGTAAAACGAGAAATCGTAAAATTATGCCAATTTCCCACTTACTGACTTAAAAAGAAACAAGTCATTCAAATGGACACTAAATTATGCTATTACTCTTTCTAGGAAATATTAGCAACACCATGTATCTGCACAAATTTACTCATCGCAACATTTCTGTGGTGACATTTTTCAACATTATTAAATCAGCAATAAATAAATCCTCTGTCATAGAAAGTGCATCATCATTATTCACTTGAGCAGTAGTTGCTAAAAATCTTGCCAATTTTATGTCACATGCTACAGAATACGTAAACGTACATCATATATACTGCACTCCTTAATTATTGCCATATAATTTTTGATAAAAATAAGATGAACTTTATTTAGACAGAAGTCATTTATGGAAATATAATTGTTTTAGTATATAAATCGCAAGCAATTTAAATTCTCAACATTTAGAAGTAATAAAATTAAATTAAATTAAAATGTTTGTTACCACAGACCTAGTAAACCTTGCTTATTTGTTTCCTTATCTTTGTTTAGTGATTTTACTTTATAACACTATTTTAATACAAATGATATACATTGGGATTAAAGTATGAAAAAAATTACAATTATGAAATTAATAATTAGAACTCATACTTGAATGTCATGAAGGACCGTGATAACAGCTTCAACTTCAAAGTTACCGAAACCTATGGCAAATAATTTGATTTTGTACTAATAAACAACTTGGTGATGCTAAATCTTAACAAATAATCTTATAAAACAAAAAATTATTACAAGATCAACATGACAGGCTATACCATAAATGAAAAACAAGATCACATGGACTGTTAGTATAGCTAACACTTTCATATTTCCTTAATAAAGTAATGAAAAGACGCACTTAAAAAGAAGAAAGTCATTTAAAAGTGGGAAAGAAATTATATAAAGTCACACAAATACAATAGAAAGCACTAAAAATGAACGACAGAAATCGTCATCAGATAAAATCTGTTTGAGGACAGAATTATAAAAAACCAAGTACCACGTTTCTATGTCGTTCAAGGTAGACTGCAAATCAAAACTCAAACGATTTTTTGAGGCACAAGAATCTTATGAAGAATTAGTCAGCCGGTCATTGTAAAAATCCTTCTCTCTATAGTACAAATGAAAGCGCTGTGGTGTAATAAAGGAATGAAAAAGTCAATAATGCTGTGAGAATTAAAATTTCCCGCAATACAGTCAAGATATGTACGGTATGTAACTTCTACCAGTATAAGGTTGAGTAATGGTAGTTAAGAACATCAGTGAGCAGAAAGTCAGAAAAGAAAAACTGATGCAGTTAGACACAAATCTTCGGTAAACACATGAAAGTTTAGGTGCTATCAGTCAGATTTTAACTCTAAATTACTCAGGTCAAAAGTGAGAATCGGTCGACGAGGTTGCTCCAACAAGATGTCTGAAAAAGAGTTCGAGCTCAAAACTTTAATTAAAGGTTTATAAATTCAAGCGCCTTCAAGATATCCAAATCTAATAATATAGTAAGGAAATAAGATTTGATGAATGTTTCAAACAACAAGTTCCACAACGTACCGTCAAGAATAGCTGAGCACGGAAGAGTGATGTAGGTCAAAAATGCGTTCAATGGCGTACTTTCTGATCTTCGCTTCTCTCGAAGCCAATGCCATGCTTGACCGAAACCCTTAACGGACCATAGACGACTCATTACGCCTTCATTTAACTCTAAAAAGAAGACAATTAAAGACTAAAACTGCAGTTACTAAGAATCAAGTGGTACTGTCCGAATCCGCAAACACTGCATGTGAGACAGCCCTATTACAAAAATATAGACTTCACTTCCAAAGAAAATGTATATTACATGAAATACTCCATATAAAGATATTCAAAATTGAAATAGAACTTTACTGTCCCTACTAGAAAATAAAGGTCGAAATTGATCACACTTTTTAAATTTACCCGCCATCATCTTAAGACGAATGGTGGATAGGATAGTATAGATATGTACAAATATGAATTGAAAGCATGTGGAACATTTCTCAAACACTAATTTTTGATTTTAGAATAAATCCAGGAACAAAGCATTTTTTAAGCTTTTGTTAATACTAATCTTCTACAGTGACTGCTGAGCATAATCAGTATTTCATTCAATTGACGACATACAAAATCAAATTCAAATTTAAAGAGGACTGTGTAACATTAAAATAATTCTGAAAGTGTATTTTGAAGGAATCGTCAAAAACTTTAATGTAATAGTTCCAGACGCTACTTGTCACTTTCACTGAATGTTATTTATTTTTATTATGTAATCACGATGCATTTCAACAATTTGCTCAGAATTATGCACAAAATCTTCAAAATTTCTTAGGTCCGTTTCAGTAACATTCAATGATTGAGGAAAAAAATTCTTCGACACAATGGCAGAGAATTATTAGTATAATGCAATTCTTGATTTTTTGACATAAGACTGTCATCATTTGTGACCATTATAATAATGAGTGATTTTATGACCAGTTTTAACTACAATCCACAATAATACAATATAATGGTTCAAACCATCATCAATGCTACTCGCTTCAACTTCTGGGAACTGATTTAGAGAATCAGTTTCACTCTGCCAGCGTCGTCCACGATTATGTCCTTCTGATGAACCAGGTATTACTATGGGTCGCTGTGGATAATGATTTAAATTTGTATCTGACATCCGCCTTATTCCACACTTACTAATCTACAAAATACTCAAATCTATACAGATTGAAACAGTAATTACACTGCATCTAAAAAAAAATCTAGCCTTATAATATATGAGAGTTTGCAATTATTTTTCTACATTTTATTCTATTCACTTATAAAGGAATGAAAAAAGTTGCGTAATACTAAGAAAAAGACTTACACTTTCAAAACTCAATAACTGCTCTGACAACGGAGTTTCATAACCACAGTTTGAAACACGCATGACCGCCATTTCAGCATATCCTACAATTCAAGGTGATTTATTTATTCAGCAAAACAAATTCATGAATGTGAAAAATAATGAGCTATAACCTTGACAAACAATTCAAGAATCTAAAAGAATTGTAACTAAGGTATTTTAAGAACTTGTACTGAACATAGTATCAAGAATAAGAAATGCACCTTTTCCATGAGGTCCTCTCATACGAACGAATTCACGACGTCGTTGATTTGAGCTGACAATTTTTTGTGCCCACTGCCACGAAAGAGATACCTTAAGAAAAAACTTGAAATCAATACTGTACGTTCTATGAGATTCCACAGAAATAAAGGATTTAACTACAACAAATTGAGCATACCCGTGCGTCATAAACCTGTTTCAAAACTTCGTATCTTATGGAACCGAGAAAAACTGCGACCTCATACTTTTTACATCTATCTCTAGCTACCAATTCAACACAAACACATTCTCCATCTCGAACTACCACATCGCTGAAGATCTAGAACTCCGTAATAGAAAATAATAGTCATGTTTTAAAAAAAGCAAAAGAGAAATCAAATAGTGCTTAGTAAAAGTGAAAATACCTCTAATGACACACATAATAAATTCGAGATGTTGATTGACGATGAATTTACCTGTTCAAAGTCATCAATGGCAAAATAAATTCTGGGATAAGTGATTTCTTCACATTCACCTTTGCTATCCATTTGTCGTTTACTTGGCGATGGATAAACACGCTGAAGATTTTACATAACATTCTCACACAAAAATATAAATATATGTGTCTCTTAAAAACATAATTGTGAGAAAGGAATTTTTTAACAGAAAGTTAAGAAAAATTGTTTTAAAATACTAAACCTGACAATTTTTCCGTAAAATCTGCAAATTCTGTGGACTTGTCCTGGTGCAAACGGCACAGGTAACATGAAAATCCAACTGAAAAACGTTCTTCAAAGTTCTTTGATTCATTCGAGAAAATTAATTGTCGTAAGAAAATGTAATGAATATAAGACCTGAATTACTTAAAATAGGATAGTCACAAAATACCAAAATATTTCTCCTGTGCTCATGTTTGTGTAATGAAATCATGGTCAACTTCTAAAAAATAATCACACATTCGTCTTAAATATACCTGCTGAAGTATAACATTCAAACAAACAGTCTCCTCCCAATTTATCGAAGGATCATAGAGCAGAGGCCTATTAGGACTTTGACGTCTATATACTTGCAAACGATTTCTCTAAATCATTGAAAATTAATCTTTATGCTTGGAGTACAGTCGAGATGCATACAAATCTATAAGCCATTTTTATATTACATTTTACGACCAAGCAAAAAAAGTAAAAAAAGCATAACTAATGTTTAAAACTTAAAAATGATCGGATAAAGAACACAAGCTTGTGTAATCATTGATAACTTGAGACAGTGATCACTGTCAAAAATTTTATTTTTCGTTTCAATAATGAAAATTAACATTAATCAAGCAAAGATTTACTACCTGATCAATGTAAAAATCTGAACTGATTTGATGCGCAGATACGTACCATAACATGTCATCACTGTGGGCAGCACATGCTTTCGAATTGCAGGAAACGTTTCCAGCAATAAAATCAGCAAACAGTTTACACCATCCTTTTTCATAATTTGGTACTACTGCAAAGTCTTTATCTGAAAAAAAAATCATATCTTAAGAAAGTTAATCTGCAATAATCTTTAGGAAATTATCCTTCCTGATATGATTCAGAATGACATCACTTATCGATACTGATTTTCACCTGTTCGCAATATTATTCAAATTGCTATTTGCAAACTTGACTACAGATGAATAGTAACTGATTTTACCACTCGCACATTTCAATATCATTAAAGATCATTGTTTTCTTTCAGAATTATTTTATATCGAAACACTCAATTTCTCAACATGTTCCTCAAGGCTTTTCTTACGAATCATGTCGCATATTTTGATTTAGCCTTTCTTTGATTGCTTGGTTTATTTTTCTCATTTTACGGGTATATTCCAAGCAAATGATACTATGCAGAACTTTATCATGGATACAATATTACTGTGATTACATCTCAAATGCTGTCGGACATTTGAGAACAAATATTTAAAATAAAACTTGCGAAAAAACTATGTAACATATATGCTCTGATAAAACTAACCAAAAGTGAGTTGAGCTCGTCTCAAATTAGAAATTTTGGTAAGTAACTGATCAAATGAAGAACAATAACTTGAAGTTGTTGCTTGAAGTGCACCTTCAAGCGTGATTTCATTCATGAGTAAACTTCTGAAAATAGAGGTTTGGCTGAGCAAAGAGCACTACATTCATCAAACGCAAATTATGGAACACGTAGTAAACTAAAAGTAAAAAAAAAAAGTAATTAGAGGATTTAACAAAATAGTACTGAAATCGCATAAATCAAATAATTAATGAGTTCAGAAAAATTGAACAGAATCAGAATTTTTTGCGGTTCATAGTTATCACAATGAAAAAGATGTCTCATTGTGCTGAACGATCAACTCTTCCTTGTCCATGTGTTGTGAATCAGATAATTTAAGTGTTTGACATATAAATATCAGATGTTTATTTTACGTGCCAGAAACTTCAATGCTTCTTTCTGTCATGCATAAAGAATAATGAATGGACAAAATTTTTACATGAAATGAAGCAGATGTTTTCAGCTTGCTTTAAAATATTTATTAAGGATTGCGTTGTGAATGCATGTTAATCACGAGTTATTTTTTTGAAAAACTTTAGAAAAGCGATAATTTAAGGATAATAAATAGTCAGTCGTTTTACAAACTAAAAGTTAAAAAGTAGAAGTTCTGTTAGTAATCACTGACTGAAAGAAAGTATTGAAATGAAGAAAAGTTTTGCTTTCATTGTGCTAAATTTACTGTCTCCTTAAATTTCAGTTCATGTGAGTTATTATACATTGTTGATTATATTTTATCAAAAGTCATTGTATTATACTGATTATTTTATCATAATGATGTAATTAAGTTATTGAAGCTAGTAATCGTATTATTAGTTCATCTATCATCATCACAACGGATCAAAATCTTTGCTTCAGTACTTAAAACATAAACTTTTAAATTTGTTGTATTGATATAGGTTTTCGAAAAAGAGTAAATTTATATTTATATTGAATGTAGTTGGTTTGATTTCTTGATTACGATTGTATGTTTGTTTAAGATATTGTAGTGATCATAAATAGTATGAATGAAATGTACAGATACAAAATACTGGTATTATCATTACAGAAAACCAACTAGTAGAATAGTGGTAATGAAAGTAAAATGAAGCACAATTTAAAGTAAGTAAGTAATTAAGTATGTGAGTGAGTGTACGGTAAGTAAATGATGATTGCAGTCATTCATAATTGTGGTTTATTTTTTGCTATAGAGAATAAAATGCCGCGGCAGTGATGGATGACAAGTAAAGTTTGATGATAATAATGAGCTAAGATAGCATCTGCGATAAGATGAAAGCATCTGCACTCAAGTAGATCGAAAACATTTCAGTGCAACAAAATTGGATGGAACTTCTAATACCAAATACTCTTACTTGCAATGATATCAATAAATTATTCAAAAAGTACTTGAATATTCCTGGTTTCTGGCTACTTTACCTCCTTCCCCTTTTCGTCCTAGAGTGTCTTCTTCCGCTTGCTTAGTATATGTTAGTATTACTATTATCAAACTAGTGTGCAGTGTGTGAGTGATTTTTCAAGTATTCATCAGAAATACTTAGAAGCAAGAATGACTTGCTCGCTATTTATCTCCACTGATTTTACCCATCTTTTTTCTTTGATCATTTTGATCACACACTTATCATTGGCTACTGATCCTTCATTGATTCGTAATCCATCAATAAAAGTAGGTAGTATTTGCTTTTAGTACAATTTTTGTAAGATTTATAAAATTTTTGTTTCTTAATCAAATATGCTTATTTCTTTTAACTCTTTAAAAATTTCATATCAATTACTCAATCACATATTTCTTTTTAATATTGCTATTTTGATAAAAGACAACAAAGTTTTTTTATTAAGCTCTACTATAAGGCTTGTAAACACTTGTGCAAAAGTAAAAGTTATTCTGATTAATGTTTTGTTCGATTGTTTTGCATTGTTTTAGTATAATTTTCCATTTTTTTTGTATAGAAATTTTATAATTTTGGTATCTTTCCAAAACCGTCCCTTTAATTAAGTTTTCATAAAAATATTGCTGAACACTTTAGTATATTATAGTGTACTAGCATTTAAAGTTACTCGATTTGGGTATTACTCTTTTGCAAGCAAAAAATAGAACAATGGCTCACTTTTAGTTTATAAAATCTACAAAAATAAAAGCTGCATTTTGTTTTATTTCAAACAAACAAACATAATTTTAAAATTGCATTTATTCAGTTCAGATTATCATCCTGCAGTTTTTTGTAAGGACAATTTATGATGCAAGAATTATATCCGTTCATTTTTTTTTTCCAAAATTCAAGGGATCTATTAAAATGAACATTTATTTTGAAAACGATGAAAATAAATAAATACAGGATGACTAGAAAATTAAAATAATGAATCTAAATGAATATTTTTTCTGTAAACACTAAGAACAGGTAGCTTTAAAATTACTTTAAATTTAATATATTAGCACTATTAATAATGATTAGAAGAAAAGAGTATAATTATTACTAAAAAGTTTAAATCTTAAAATTTTGAACGCAAAAGAAAGCTCTTAAAAATATTGCATGAATTATTAGATAGATTAATGTGTGACTGCTAATGTTAATGAATCTTTTTCAGGAATCTGCATTACTTGACTATAATTATTTGCCGCATTCAGGTGCGTGCTTTTCCATCACCATTTTGGTCCCTTCAGCAAACAACTTTTCTATTTTTTGCATAAATTTGAATCTAATTTACAAACATAGTAAATAAGTGTACCATTATGAAAATTTATGATATCACTAAGTCTGATCATCCATGTCAATAAATTTAAATTGTAACATTTTTATAATATTACTTTATTCATTAATATTTTACTATGTAACACACAATTACCCTTCAAATTTCTTTAATTTAAATTCTTAGTAATTTCAAATTTAAATAATTACTGTGGATTTTAAGGAGTTTTTTGTTCATTCAACTTTCTTGTAGAACACATGAAAGTTTCTATAACTGTTTTGTTTATTTTGCGCTACTTAAACTTCCTGAAATGTATGGAAAAAATAACACTTTCATTCACTCAAACAAACAGTATTTTTAATAAAAATATTTTTTTTAAATTTAATCTTTGAGTATTGCTTTTTCGTCATTTTTATAAGAGTGGCTTACACTTACAGTATTTGCAATACGTATATGCCTATAGTATTTGCTACTCTTGTAGAAACCAAATCAAATAAGATTCAAAAATTAATTACTTTTGCAGTATATTTTTAAAGATATTCAGAAAATTTGTAGTTAATGTTTTTTTCGTTAGTATGTATCTGTAATATTTAGATTCATGTTGTTAGTAAAGCTTTTTTACAGCAAAAATTTTACTATGAAAACTTTTTGCCAAATAAATTCAAACTTTTTTACTTAAAGTTTGCATATTCAGTGCATACGAATTTATCATTTTTTATCAGTAACACTTTTGAGATTTTTGATTGGATATTTTTTTAAAATCAAATGCAAGTTTAAAATTTTACAGAGGTGAAGATTAGTGATAATGCTATGGTTAATCCATATTTGCTTTACAAACGTAAAAATGAATTCATTCGTTTTGGAAAACGTGAAGATGATATGAGGTATCTTTTTTTCTTTTTTAATAAACATATAAAATATTTGTGGAAATGGAAAAAATATTATTATATTTTTCATTCAATTTACAGAAACCTCTTTCAAATATGGACATTCATTCTATGTAACTTTGATGCTAAAAAAATTGTTATTTTATATTAAAGTCAGCAGTTTGGTAATATGAATAACTTGCGAGCTGAAGAACAAAGTTAATACTATTGCTGCCAGAATTAATGTTCCAGTTCTGATAATTAATTTACTGTATACAATAACTATGTTTCCATCGTTCCATTTAGAGTTAAATGGAACTGTAGATATTTTATGCAGTCAATTAATCAAACTTCATGATAATGAGTAAATTAAGATAGCATGTTAATCCTCGCTAATCATCGAAATTGTAAAATATGAAACAAAACTTTTTACAGATTGAACAAGCGAAGGAATGAATTCATTCAGCTCGCCAAACAATTGGCAGAATCAGAAAGGTGATAAGTTTGAAGTTGGCTATGTGAATGCACAACTTTCGTATGTAGAGCGAATTGGTGATAACTATTAAAAGTTTTAATAAAATTGTTCTATATTAAATACAAATGCCAATTAGAATAAATCAGAATTCATATTATATCATTTGTTCGCGTTTTATGCAGTTAAATACAAATTGGACTGCATTGCATCTTATGCAATCACTTTGGGAATCTGCTATGTTAAATTTTGTTTCAGAATTTTTGAAAAACGACTTCGTCACCAACAATGATTGCTATTAAAAACTGCAAATTTTCAAAAAAATTTTTTGAAAAGTAGCATTATAATTATAAAAATATGCTTATAATAGAAAGTAAGCTAAACATGTAATTGAAAGCAATTTGAGTACTGTTATTTATGGATATCAGTTGATATTTAAACTTTTAGCAGGTCAACTTTACATACTGTCCCAATAAAATTACTTGAATGTGAAAAGGTGATGATTACGATTGCAACAAAAATTATCCAAATTTTAGTCAACTTTGAAGATTTCATACGAGAAAAATTTTAATGCTAAACAATAGTATCAATAAACATACTGATTAGTTTGTTTATTCTTAGTTTAATTGCGCTCAAATTTGTTACTGTTCTCATTTTTTAAATTTACAAAAAAAAGCAGAAAAGTTTTTCTTTTTTTGGGGCAATAAAATTTGCCGTTATAATTAAGAAGCAAACTGTAAAAGTTTGACTAAATGCTTCCTTTTTGCTTTTCTTTTGCGTATTAAAGTTTGTCCCAAAATATTACGGCTTACTTTTACGTACAATTAAGAAGAGATTTTTTTTTTCGCCTAAAATAAGCTATGAAAATTAAACAGCAAGCAATTTTGTGCAACAATTTTTGTTAAATGTTTTTTTTTTTTTTTTGGAAGAAGCAATTTTCTAGAAATGCACGCTATCATTTGGTTACAACTCTACGTTTTTCAATACTTAACTTTTAGCTCATTATTTGTTTTGTTTTAATATTGCTTTGTGAATCTA